GTAACAGTGTTCCGATATCCTTGACGAACATTATTTATGAACGTATTCAGTTTCACTGGCCTGATTTTGTTACAAAAATACATGGGAACGTTAAAACCAGCAAACCCGCATTTACAAAATTGAACATGAGTATATATAATGGCAATCTACCTCCTATTCATACTTACCTGGCGGTGAGAGTGCACCGATCACTAAGGGTGCAACTCCAGGGTGAGGCGCAACATTGCACTTCGTTGTCGCTGACCTCTGAGGCTGACTCAAATAGAGTTACGCCTACCGTGTAATTTTTTAGTCGGGGTTTGCGTTCGCGCTGCCCCATATTCTTCAAAATTGTTAGTTGTTCAAAAGTTGGGAATTGCGAAAACCCTGACAACAATTTTTGGAAGACGGGAATAACGAACGCCTGCAGAAAGCTCGCATCCTACAGTGGTTAACCTGTTCGCGCAGGAATGCATGACCAATGTCTCTTTTAAGTGTCTCCCTTTGATGACGCCGCTACACTCAGACTATAAGGGGAATGTCCCTATTTGGCCATATAATCCTGGTCTTCTCGTATAATTCCTTAACTCTACTGGGGGCGAAGCTTTGTCTTCTTTTTAAGTGCCTCATTTTCATTTGGCACTCATCCATCTTTGAAAGCTTGACAGCTGAGTCTTTGTTCTCTGCGTGACGGTGTTCCCCGTTTCTTCTATGTAATATTTACCGCAGTTACATTGTAATTTGTAAACCTAGCCTAGATAGTCATTAATCCCAGAATTACTTAATAATGCATTAAGTTCATTAAAGCTTTTAAATATAACATTGACATTATTTCTAGTGTCAAATAATCTTTGTTACTTTTCACTAAAGGCTTTTTTGATACGGTAGAATTAAACAAAGTTTATTATTAGTCTTGTCAGTGTTACAAATAAGTTTAAAGTGGCATATTCTAAAGTTTACACTGTTCTTAACGAATTCAGATAGATTATAATTTTTATTTCCCGGCACGTTTGTCTGTCCGGTGATAAAAGAAAAATGTCACTTTCTTAGCGGCTGGATCGAAAACCAGCAATATGCTAGTAAACTAAGATCAGTTTTTATGTATAAATAAACAAATACTTTAAGTTTCCAAAGAACAAACAATCTTTTCGATTTAAGGAAAATGGAAACCAATAAGCCAACAAATACAAAAATTTTGTCACAAACCGAAGTTACGGCGAAACAAACTATGTCGGCATGAATTGCCGAAGTTAATGAACCACTTACTTATTAGAACGAATGTCAGTACCAGAAACAGTACCACCGATGACTGTCACAAACGAATTGCAGTTGTGATGAGGATTCCACTTTCCACAAATGACCTTGTAACTAGCCGCGGCAGACAATACTTTGTCGGACACGATCTGCCAATATATACATATAAAAGAAACAAATTTATAATATTTAAATCCTATGCATACACAGAAATAATCCATTAACTTTCCCATGATAATTTTCAGAAAGCAGTACTTTTGTTTTTGTATAGTCTTCTATTTCAATTGCTTGAGCCGCAATGCAAATAAAAAGACTTATGGGAGGTCAATATACTTCGTATATTTAAATCCTTCCATCTCTTTTTCTGGCATACAGTTATATTTGTATAGTGGTATCAAAGTGTCTGCCATTTTGTAGTACATCGCTTTAAATAAAACGCTTTTATCTGTCTCTGATGACTACAACTCTAATGACA